TTCTTTTTTCTGTTTGTATTGGGTTTAATTTGTTCTTCTTCTAGCTTCTTGAGATGGAACCTGGATAACTGGTTTGGGATCTATTTTTTAAATATTTGTGTTCAAAGCCACAAATTTCTCTTTCCCACAAATTTTGTTATACGGTTCCCATTTTCATTTAGTTCAAATATATTCTAATTTCCCTTGTGATTTCTTTGACCTGTGAGTTATTTAGAAGTGTGTTGTTCAATTTCCAAATGTTTGGGGATTTTTCAATATTTTTCTGTTACTGATTTCTAATTGAATTTCACTTAGGTCAGAAAATATATTCTTGCAATTTTAATATTTCAAAATTTATAAACTTCTCTTATGGCACTGAATATGGTTTATGCTGGTGAATGTTACAAGTGTATTTGCATATATATGTATCCTGCTGTCTGGGCCCAGTGGGTGGTATGCTCTACAAATGTCAATTTGGTCAAGTAGATTTATTATGTTGTTCACGTCTTTTATATCCTCAAAGATTTTCTGTTTACTTGTTCTGTCAGTTATGGAGAGAAAGGGTGTTGAAGTATTCAAATATAAAGTTTGTCTATTTTTCCTCAGTTCTGTCAGTATTTTGAAGTAATGGAAATGAGGTGTATATACATTCAAACTGTTATGTCTTCATGATGAACCGATCCCTTTAAAATTATGAAATGACTCATTCCTTCTAATAAGTGAAGTCTAATTCATTGAATATAAACATACCTACTCCACCTCTCTTACAATTTGTGTTTGCATGTTTTCTTTTTTCATCTTTTAACCTATGTGTTTAAATTTAACGTGTGTCTCTTGTAGATACCATATTGCTTTTTTATCAAATGCAACAAATCTTCCTTTAGAGCATTTACAATGGATGTAATTATCAATATATTTACTATTTGTTTTATGTTCATCCCATCTGTTATTTGTTTCCATTCTCTCTTTTCTTTCTTTCTTTTATTTTTTTTTATTTTTTAAATGTTTTATTTATTTCTAGGAGAGAGACAGAGAGAGAGACAGCATGAGCAGGGGAGGGTCAGAGAGAGAGGGAGTCACAGACTGAAACAGGCTCCAGGCTCTGAGCTGGCAGTCAACACAGAACCTGACGCGGAGCTCGAACCCACAAACCATGAGATCATGACCCAAGCGAAAGTCGGACGCTTAACCAACTAAGCCACCCAGACGCCCCTGAAATTCTTAATTTTTGAGCACCAGACTTTACATTTTCATGTTGCACTGGACCCAGGTAATTCTCATCCTTTTCTTTCCATGGGTACATCCTTCAAGATTCAAATCAAGTCCTACCTCCTTCCAGAAGCCCTCCATGACCCTTTCCCNGAAAGTCGGACGCTTAACCAACTAAGCCACCCAGGCGCCCCTCTTTCTTTCTTTTAGACTGAGCACTTTTTAGGATTCTATGTTAACTCCACTATTGCCTTATTGCTATTTTTTGTTTTGTTTTTCGTAGTCTCTAGTGTTTGTAGTATGCACTTTAACTTACTGCAGCCTATTTCTGAATAATTCTGTGTCAATTCACATCTAGTGTATCTTACAAACAATATAATGATGAAATGCTTCTGTCTTGCCCCATACTTTATGCTACTGTTGTCATATAATTTATTTATATGTATCATAAACTTCCTAATATATTCTTATGATTTTTACTTTCAACCAATTAATTTCAAATTTTAAAATGAGTGAATAACCTTTTATGTTTTCCCACATATTTACTATTTCTTGTGATTTTCATTCCCCCATTGAGACCCACGCTTTGAACTGGTATCATTCTCTTTTTGTCTAAATGTTTGCTAACAATATACCATTTCGGCCTTGTGTGTTTGGAAATAGTCTTAATTCACCTCCATTTTTGAAATAGCTTCCCTGGGTATAGGATTCTAGGTTGTAGGTTCCTTTCAGCAGGTTAAAGATATTACTCCATTGACTTTTGTCTTACATAGTTTCTGATCACAATACTTTCTTTCATTTGTAAGTAATTCTGTTTTTTTTCTGGCTGCATTTAAGATTTTCTCCTTAGCATTTAATTTTAGTCATTTGACTGTGATGTATCCTGATGAGATCTTTTTATTTCTCCTGCTTGGGATTTATTAAGCCTCTTAAGGATCTGTGATTTTATTGTTTTCACCAAATTTGAGGAAATTTTGGCCAATATCTAATTCTTTCTCCATGCTGTACCCCTTTTCCCCCTGGGACTTCAATTACATACATTAGGTGGTTGTTTGCTAATGTAACAAAGGTTACTGAGATTCTGTTTTGTTTTCTCCAGTCTTTTTCATTTCTGTGTTTCATCTTGGATCATTTTTACTTTACTATAAGTTCAACAGTATTTTCTGCAATATTTAATCTGTTCTTGATGTCAATAGTGAATTTTTCATTACGATACTTAATTTTCAATCTCCTGAAGTTTCATCTCGCTATTTTTAAAATATATGTTTCCCTCTTTCTCCTCACTAAATTCATGTTTTTCTTAAAATATTTGAGCATACTTACAATAGTTATTTTAATATCCTTGGGCACTCTCGTAACATCATCTTTATTATTCCTCAGACTGTTTTTATCGATTGATTTTTCTCTTGATTATAGGTCACATTTTTCTGCTTCTAGACACTCCCACTAATTTTTTTTATTGTATGTTGAACATTAAGAATTTTATGTTGTTGAGTCTAGATTTTACGGTCTTATTTTGAAGAACATTGGGCTTTGTTTTAGTAAGGGGCTGTTCTTCGTGTAGAGTTTGATCCTTTTGAAGTTTGTATTTAAACTTTCTTAGCCTATATCTGGAGTAGCCTTTAGTCTCAGGATTAGTTACATTACTGAGACATAGTCCTCTAGAATCTGAATTGTTCCTCTGAGTGATGAACAAGGTCTCTCCAATAAGGCTGGCCGAAACACAAAATGCTTCCCAGACTTGAGTAAGCTCTGAGAAATGTTCCGTTCCCAGCTCCCAAGAAGTTCTTTGTCTAAGCTTATGGAGTTTCTTTTTGCACATCTACATCTTATTCAGTACAAACTGAATGGGGTCCTTGTGCAGATTTCTGGAGTTTTTCTTTGTAAAGCCCACCTCTCTAGAACTCTGTCCCATAATGTTAGGTGATTCAGACTCTCTAAATTCTGACTTCTGTCTCCTCAACTCAGCAAAGCTGTTGTTCTCTGTTGGAGGGCCTCTTCCCTGTCCATAGTTGACACGGTGCCTCCAGGAAGAGGCCCAGAGTGACTGCAGGGCTCACCTCATTTGTTTCTTTTCTATCAGGGGTCACAGACTTGCGCTGCCTGTTGTTCAATGTCTAAAATAATTATTTCATATATCTTATGTAGTTCTCTTTTTTTAAGACAGAAGCTTTAATATGATTCCTGTCATTCTATCATAGCTCAAAGTAAAAGTCTTTTCTTAGACTTCAAAAATGAATCTTGGTAAACAGTTTGGCAGCTCCTCAAAAAATTAAACATATATTTACCATATGACCCAGGAATTCTACTATTCAAAATAATTAAAACCAGAGACTCAAATGGATATTTGAATATGCATGTTCATAATAGCATTATTCACGACTGCCAAAATTTAGAAGCAACCCAGTGTTCAAAGAAAGATGAATGGAGGGGCGCCTGGGTGGCTTAGTCGGTTAAGCGTCCGACTTTCACTTAGGTCATGATCTCACGGTTCGTGGGTTCGAGCCCCGCGTCGGGCTCTGTGCTGACAGCCAGCTCAGAGCCTGGAGCCTATTTCAGAGTCTGTATCTCCCTCTCTCTGACCCTCCCCTGCTGACGCTGTCTCTCTCTCTCTCTCTCCTAGAAATAAATAAAAATATTAAAAAAAAAAAAAGATGAATGGATAAACAAAATGTAGTATACACATACAATGGAATATTATTCAGTCTTAAAAAGAAGTGAAATGCTGATACAGGGTACAACATGGATCAATCATGAAGACATAAAGCTTCATAAAATAGAAATAAGCCAAACACAAAGGACAGATACTGTATGATTCAATTGATATGATGTACCAAGAATAGGCAAATTCATAAAGTAGAATGGAGGTTGCCAGGGCTGGTGGGAGGGGTGGATGGTAAGTTACTGTTGAATGAGTTTAACTGGGGAAAATCAAAAAGTTCTAGAGTTGGATGGTGAAGATTGTTGCATAACATTGAGAATATACTTAATGTCACTGAATTCTGTACTTAAAAATGATTAAAACACTAAACTGTGTGTGTGTGTGTGTGTGTGTGTGTATACAACCACAATAAAAATGGTGCCAAGACAGAAACCTTTATCTATAATAAAGGATTTTGGACAAATCTTTCAAATATTCCAATAAAAATTTGACAGCAATATTTGCATAATACAACAAATAAATGCAATTCATGATTATAAACTAGATCATTTTGGTATAAAGTATAGTCTTGGCCCAACTGGCAAAATTCAAATGAGATCTGAGGATTAGATAAGAGCAATTTATCACTGAATTTCCTGATTTTGATGGTTGTATCGTGTTTACGTAGGAAAATGTCATTGTTTATAGGAAATACACACAAAAGTTCAGGGTGATGGGTCAACCTACTCTCTTAATGGTTCAAAGAAAAGAAGATTGTTTGTAATGGATTTGAAATTTTTCTGTAAGTTTTTTATGGTTTCAAAATTTTAAAATATAAATTAAAGTATTAAAAAAGACTGTGTAATGTTATCACACTGATCTGGTAAGAGTAGAATTACCTACAGTAAAATCACAGTAAACCAGATATTAACCTTAGTAAAAAGTTTAAAATGTAAAAAAATTAAAACCTTGAAAAAAGAAAAAAAGAATATAGCTTGGATCAGATGCAGTGAAGAACAAATTGCCTGCTTCACACTGAAACTTCATGTCTTGCTTCACAAGAGAGTAAAAAAGGGAAAAAGATAAAACCAAGGTGGAGAGCAAGCACTTATACAAACTTACCGGCAAATGTCTGATAAATGACCAGAAATCAACTCTTAGTTATACTTACACAATGGTTTTTCCAATGTGCAAAAATGATTTCTCTACAAATTCCCGAACGCTATGGACTTCCCCAGTAGCTATGACAAAATCCTCTGGCTCATCATTCTGCAACATCAGCCACATAGCCTAGAGAGAGAGAGAGAAAGAGACAAATCCAAGTTAAAGTTGCATGCATCCAGCTGCCCCCTGGGAAATATGATGTTATCAAAAGCATGTAATTGGATATGGACATTGCTAAAAGGTAAACTGAGGCACATTAAATTTTTTTTTTCCCCAAGAGTTTATTGGAGCATACATCAATTCAAATAGGGCAGCACTAAACCAAAGGCAGTTGGGAGCACTGCACTAACAGAAAGGAGCAGTAGCATTTTTATACAGTACAAACTGAAGCACAGTAACAAATTATTTGATTGACTATAGTTTACACAGTTGCCTTATTTGAAAATGCAGAGGTAGCTCTTTGTGATTAGTTGTTCTTAAGTTTCATTTTCTTGGATTTGAGCGCATGGACTCTGGCTTAGGTTTCCATTCACTTACATAGGCTACGAAGGCATTAAAAGTCACCTCAGTCTAATGTTCTCCTTGTATGAATTCTTTGACAGTACAGCTACAAAATGACCATGAATTTACCACAATATTCTAACCATCACAGTAGCGGTTCTCAAACTTGAATGTGCATGAGAATCATCTGTGGAACATCTCTGTATAGATGCCTGGGACACAGAAGTCTGGACTCAGCAGATGTGAGAACATTTAGGCATCTTGATTCCCACACAGCAGGTCTTTGGGTTACAGTTTAGAGGAACAAGTATCTGTGGTAAAGAAGGTTTTTATGTATTTTAAAAAGGAAGAGTTTAAAAAGTTTTAAACAATTTTCCTTCATATCATGGACAGAAGGTAAGAAAAAGTCATTTTTAAAAGACAGATGATTTTCCTCAAAAGTAGAACCAAATTTCTTAACAATTAAGTTGGAAATTTACCAATGTGCTGACATCAAAAAGCAAAATAATTAAGAACCATTAATGGGAAAAGAACCATGTGATGAGCAATACTGTCTCTTAAAAAGTTATCTGAGTGGCAATAAGAAGGTTTTCACCAGAGTTCAGGATTCATCAGGTAGCATTTCAAGGTCAGATGCTCAGTGGGGGCATCATACTGGTGCACTTTTTCAACAGAATGAGAAATCTAGTTGAGCAACAATGCAACTGCATGTCTGAGACACAAACTGGTGGCAACTGTCACAGTCTGGCTCCACTCAGTTATAACAACTTTTATCAGTAGCTATACAGGCCTACAGTTTCTATAGTTTGGAATTGTACATTAATTTTTGTGATTTTGTTATACAGAAGATGCAGTTTAAAAAAAAAAAGCATAGCTTGTATTAACTTTTGTGATTTTGTTACACAGAAGATGCAGTTCAAAAAAAAAAAAAAAAAAAAAAACCCCACAAAATCATAGCTTGTATTTGACTGAGCATGCCTCTTTAAGAAAAATCCAAACCAAAAAAAAGTTTTTTTTCCATCATTCATACCCACTTTTCAAAATAAAATAGGTAAAAATAATAGGCACTTCGGGGCACCTAGGTGGCTCAGTCAGTTAAGCGTCTGACTTCGGCTCAGGTCATGATCTCACAGTTGGTGGGTTTGAGCCCCGCGTCAGGCTCTGTGCTGACAGCTAGCTCAGAGCCTGGAGCCTGTCTTTGGATTCTGTATTTCTCTCTCTCTGACCCTCCCCTGCTCACACTGTCTCTCTCTGACTCTCTAAAATAAATTAAAATAAACATAAAAAAAAAACCTTAAAAAATAATGGGCACTTCATTAGAACACAGTCCCCAATATTATGTGTATTAAACTCTTGTTCTAACATTTAAAGAGAACTATTTTGGTCGGTGTCTCTCCAGTTACTATTGGAGAAGCTGAAATATAAGTTGCTGTAATCAATGGGGGAATTTATTTTTTCTTAGAGAATGTAACCCCAAAAAATTTAATTCTGCTTTATTCATTTGAATTTGTGGCATCCTTCTGAAAAATTAAAAAAAAATTATCTTTCACTTGAAGTTATTTCTTGTGAACATTTTGTATTTTTGGTCTATTATTGAGACTATTTAAAATCATATTCTTGTTCTATGGAAGATGATACCTTTGGCAATTTTATACGCCTTGGAGATGGGGCACACTGGGTGGGACAACGGCAGTAGATTCAGGTCAGTGATCTACTGAAAAGTAGCTAATGAAACTGTCTTGGCTAGGAGAGATTTCTTCTGACGTTAATGAAATATCTGCAGCTTAATTCTGCATTAAGAGATCTCAGGTGGTAAACACAGTGGATGAACAACACTTTAAAAATTGTTAAATTAGTAATAAAACTTGATGAAGTTTTAAAAGGCACAAAATGCAAGATGTTCTCTTTATTGCGATAGTCCATGCAGCGCAGAGTCTACAAAATCTTTGTACCTCCCTGAACTTAGGGCTGCCAGACACTATTAAATGTTCTAGGCTGAGAGGATGAGTGGGTTCTGAAATGCAGCCCAGCTGTGCTGGCCAAGCCCTGTTCCCAGCACACTTTGTTGTGAAGGTCCTCACAGAGGTGTCTTTTGTAATGGGCACCAAGCCACATACATGTGCATTAGCACAGGCCTAGTGGGGGGCTAGTTCCTTGTATCTCTGTGCCTTGCATGTGCAGTTCCTACAGCTTAGAATGCCCTCTTCCTTCACTGTCTAGAAACTCTGACCTCTCCTTCCAGATCCCATACGAGAGCCTGAGGTCTAGTCCTGGAAATAAATTCCTATTTTCTCACTGAGTTTCTGTATGATGAATGGCACACAGTATTGTTGGCTTCACTGGGACTCAGTCTGCCCTTTGGCCACCCTTCCCCAACTAAGCTGACCCTCCCATTTCCCTTGAGCGTGGGTGCACAGGCGTGCGCGCACACACACACACGTTTTGGCTTTCTTTAAAAATACTTTCAGAGTTGTTAGGAAAAACTAAATTATGCTTCTGGCTACAATTTCTATTTGAACATTTTTCAGAGGGATTAGCGTATACACTTACATGTGTTTTACTCAAATTTCCATTCTAAAAATAACATTTAAAATAGGTCTTTCAGGACGGCTCAGCTTATTTTATTTCCTTTGAAACACTATGTTGTGCTAGAATGGTTTTGAAAAAATTATATTTTTAGTCATGTGAAAGAAAGCAAGAGCTTGCTAAAAATAAAAGAAGAAAATATGATTACTGGTTAATGGTAGATTACTTTAAACACTGGGCACGAGTTCCCTGGTACTTGTTTTCTTCCCCGACAGGAATTTGGGGATCAGTAGGAGCCTCTCACTTTCACTAAAGTGGGTGCCAAGAATCTGCTCTTTTCTTTTCCATCAGACTATCTACGGCCTTTGACCTATCAATTTCTAGGCATTTCCTCTAAAGTTCATATTGTACCAGACTCCAGTCTGGGAATGGGAAGGGAAAGGATATACAACTCCAGATTTATTTGTTATTACTGAATAGTTTACTGGTTTTAACAGAGGGAAAGGGCTTTGTTTAAATTTCCACTGAACATAATTAATGGTTATTGACTGGTAAATGAAGAACAGGTGACATTCTGGATTCGAAGATAAATGATCTTGTGTTCGGGTGTGATAATGGGTTAGTAATTTGCCACAAAGCCGAGGCCCAGTGCATCCCATCATAATGCTAGATCATGTCCAGGACACAAAGGCCCCTGTGTGAGAAGTACTCAGCCATTCACCTCCTTATACAGCTGCACACGTTGCTTTGGTCCATTTATTCTCTGATGGATGGCACAACTGAGGCAAAAGCTCACCACTTCTCACCTTCCTGTTCACATGCTGAACATATGACCCATAACACAGCCAGGCCAATCTGTGATCAAATTGCCACTAGGCTTTGGTGTCTGACTATAGAAACAAAATTTTGAGGTTACATGTTTTAGATGTCAGTCCTCTCTCTTTGTCTCTCAAGGAATGAAGGAGAAAAAAGAGAGTCTTCCCACATTCTTTCAGTGCCCTTTAAGGATATGACTGACTTATCCACTTCCTCAGATACTTATTTACTTTCAGCCGTGACCTGATCACCAATGCAAACAAAAAAATCTCCTGCTTTTAATCCATCCCACAGGGAGGAAAGACAATCAGTTAAGGAATGTACCAAAGCTTCAGATTCTTCAACATAAAAATGTTCCTTAATGGCAAATGAAAAGTGCAGTTTTCAAATCATGTCTCACATTCATTTTGCTTTTATGGCACACTGAGGTTGAGAAGAAATCTGACACCATACCATTGACATTTGAAGGCCAGGTGTAGATGGTTATAAATATTAGTTACATTTGGACATGTGTTCTCTGGTAACTATATAATTATAGCTAGAACCTATCTGTTCCATAAATCTAATTTAGAGAAGTCAAAATAAAACTAATTAAAAATAATTCAAGTAAAAACACTCTGTCCCACAGTGTACTGTTTGGCTATTCAAATCATGCATACGGAAGTAGGTAGTGAAGGATCATTCGGCTTTCCTTGATTTGGTAGCTCTGGGAGCTGTTCACAGCTGGACCAGTGAAGGAGAACACCCAAAGTACATCACCACAGCCGACTAACTACACCTGATTCCATGCATGCCTTTTGGGGTGTGATGTGTGTTTGTCTTAAAAATCTGGATTCTACAATTGCTTCCACCTCGCCATTAACCTCCAGTTCAGTATCCAAGCCACAAACACTTATTAACTGAGCTGTCATCCATGAATAACAAGATTTGTTAATCAAGGTTATGTTTAACTATGTTTATTTGACTGCTGCTTTTTCAGTCCTGTGCTTTGTGCCTTATGTGCTACTGTCACAAACATAATCTTAGAAATATATATATATATTAGGGGAGAAAGTCTGTGAAATAATTCTTATAAAAATCATGGGAATAAACATCCATTGAACACATGGAAATAAAAATTCCCAATAAAAAATGCCAAATGGGGCTCCATTCACATATCTTTTGTCTTTAAACTTTAGTTGTGTCTTCATGGTAACAGCTTGGTATTTATATGGTTTGGGTGAAGACTTCAAGTAATCTTGCGCTAGGTCAGGCTTTATGCTTTGTGGTACCCACACACAGGC